GGAAGCTCAATTATAAACCGCCATCAACATATTACTTCAAAGAGACGTTCTTGCCAACAATAATGCAAGAGTTGACTGATCTCCTGAAGAGTAAGTTCTAGCAGCACAGTATCTTTGTTTATAATAACACTAACTTACTCACTCAATCACACTGTGATCAATCAATCAATCAATCAATCAATCAATCAATCAATCAATCAATCAATCAATCAATCAATCAATCAATCAAAACAATCAATCAACACAAAGGTATCCTATCTCAAGCTCAATCAGTAGCTATTACTACTGATGGGTGGACTGACAATCAGAATGATAAGTTCACTACTATTACTGCACATTGCATCACCATGCCATTCAAATATCAGTCTATGGTCCTTGACTTCATTCCTCTTAATGAGAGTGATACATCTGTCAATCTCTCCAAAGTACTGATGGAGTGCCTCAACAAGTGGGGCATTTCTGACAAGGTTGTAGGAGCTGTGACAGACAATGCACACAATGCCACCAAATCAATTGCCCTCTCTGACAACATCCCATCATACAGATGTCTGTCGCATACAATCCAACTCATGGTGGGCGATTGTATTAACATTGGTAAACCTCCATCCATGGATGAGGTCCACATTACATTCGACAGTACCCTCACCAATGCAAGCAGCGGTGGACCAACTGGCTCTTCAACTGTTTCAGTCAGTGACAACCTACAATTAGATATCGATGAGACAAGTACCTTACACACATCAACTCAAACTTCAATTACTTCAAATGCTAAAGTCAGAAMGCCTGCTCAAAAAAAGGCKAGGAAGAGAAAAGACCAGAACAACAGCAACAGCAGCAGCAGCAGCAGCACAATCAACACAAATACAACACTATCCAACGGTTTAACAACCTCAACAACAAACACAACAACAGTGTTGACGACAACATCAACCGAGTCTCCAAACTCGATCCGATCAATACTCAGGAAAGTCAGGAGTATTGTTTACCAGATCAAATGGTCCAAACCTTTGAGYACAGTGCTCAAAAATATCATCGCCGCCTCGTCGACCACAGGTCAGCCCAAGTTAGCGTTTAGACTCAAGTATTATTCTCCAACTAGATGGACATCACTCTTCCAAATGATTAAACGATACAAGKAATTGTCTGGATCAATTGGAGCACTGAATAATTCATCATTGGTACTGTCAACAGATCAACTAAAGGTAAGTTATTCATACATTTATATAACTCTGATACTAATAAAAATATATATATATATATATATAGAGAGTAGATGATTATTTATATCTCCTTAGCCCATTTGAGCAATGCACGATGTACCTTGCAGCAAGCTCTCGGATTACAATTGACAGTGTATTGCCAAGTTTGAGATTGATAGAGACTGAACTGGCTGATGCCAAGCCAATGACCGAAGAGGGCRAGGCACTAAGGTTGRCCCTTATTCAATCGCTGACCAAAAGGAGAGCCACCCTAATGGAGAAAGTCCCTACTCTTGCACTTCCACTTCTGTTCTCCCCTTACCTCAAGTCGACTGTCCAATGTACATTTGTCGAGCCTCCTGTATCTGAGACCCGCCGAGCAGGCAGACCACCAAAGACTGATACATGTATTGCAAGTAGACCAGAAGTCTATGCCACACTGTTTGGGGACAAAGTCAACATTAATTTGACACCCTCGATATTGTCGTCAATGTTGAAGATCATCGAGAGAAGTTCGCCTGTTGCGCCACTGGTGGCACCTAGTCAAACTCAATCGACAAGTTCTATAACCTCTGATGCACCAACAAATAACGCCTTTGGCAGCAGGCTCTTCAAAACATCATCAATCCCCGCTGCCAGCAGCCAAGGTATAGCCACGTTGCATTCACTCAAGATTGAACTGAACAAATTCCTTTCCGAGCCATATGAACTGTCAACTCAAGAAAAGGATGCACAGTATTCAGATCCGTCCATATTTTGGAGCGACACCAATAACATCAATCGATTTCCACTTCTCTACCAACTTGCCAAACACTATTTAGTAGTGCCTGCTTCGTCAGTTCCGTCAGAAGGTGTATTCTCAAAGGCCAACTATATATTTTCCGATCGCCGACAATCAATGTCATCATACCATCTAGCGGCCTTCGTTTTATGCTATTGCAACCAACACCTGTTGTCTAATAAACAATGATAATCATTGTTTTGTTTGTATTATAACTATGTTTGTGTCATCTAACTCATCACCAACCTCTCTCTACCAACCCCAATCAACCGGTGGGGTTGGGTTGCGTATTTTCACTTCAAACCTCAAACCGGTCGAGGTTGCAAGCATCCACTCCATTCGGCGAGGACCACTCCACAACAACTTATTTTCTGCTTCCTTTTGAGAACATGGTGCGAGTGATGAAGTTTTGAGATTACCAATTTCCCTTGTTTGATCAAGATGAAAGTTAGGAAATCAATATAAATATCAGTGATTTAAATGATCATACCAATTCCCTACTTGTATAAGCAACAACAAACAAATAATGATATAACTTTTGTTTATGTAGATCTACCCAATGATACACATTCAATCAGTAACCTAAACTACCTGCCTACTGCTTCATAATCCCCTTTATTCTTTAACTCCAACAACAACAACTACTATCAGTAAGCTCGTACCCTCATCCCTCACTCTCAACCTTGCCCTTGCTCTCGTCAACCCTCAACCCTCAACCCTAACCCTTGCCTCACACACACCCTCACACACATCCAGATGGTCAAAGTCAATGTCGATCAAATCAGCTCTGCCATGAAGGAGAGATATAACATTCGTAATATGTCGGTCATTGCCCATGAGGATCATGGAAAGACCACACTCATGGATTCTCTGATCTCCAGTGCTGGTATTATTCCAGAGTACAGGTCTGTCTATCCAGGCTGCTGGCTCCCCCCTCGTGAGGACGAGATCGCCCGAGGTATCACGATCAAAGCATCGAGCGCTCTGCAATTCCAGGTGGCCGCCGGGGTGGATCTGCCAGCCAACTCATCAAGCTCGCAGTTTTTGATCAACTTGATCGATTTGCCAGGCCACGTCGACCTCTCCAGCGAGGTGACTGCCGCCCTCCGTGTCACCGACGGCGCCTTGGTCGTCGTCGACACGGTCGAGGGCGTCTGCGTCCAGACCGAGTCCGTGCTTCGCCAGGCCATCCTTGAGAGTGTCGTGCCCATCCTGTTTGTCAACAAGATGGACCGTCTGTTTTTGGAGCTCAAGATGGAGCCGGAGGACGCGTACATCAAGCTGCGCAGCACCATCGAGAGCGTCAACGCGCTTGTCCAGGTCGCTGAGGGCTCGCCGTCGTGTGTCCACCTCCAGCCCCAAACGGGTAATGTCGGATTCGGCAGTGGTTACCAGGGTTGGGGATTCACAATCGAAGCATGGGCACGCATCTACGAGGCCGCCCTCGGAGTTTCGCACGCCAAGATGATTAACAACTTGTGGGGCGATCGCTTTTACGACTCTGTCACCAAGAAGTGGAGCGACAATCCTGTATCTGAAGATGGCCGAACCCTCGAGCGTGGCTTCTGCAAGTTCATCTACACACCTCTGCGCGACCTGATCGTTGCTGTCAACGATGGCGACCGTGCCAAGGTGGACGCCAAGCTCATGGTGCTCAACATCACTCTCTCACCCAACGAGATGGAGCTCACTGGTCGCGACCTGATCCGAGCCATCATGAAGAAGTTCCTCCCCGCTGATGAGTGCATCCTCACGATGATGGTTCAACACATTCCATCCCCTGTTGTCGCTCAACGCTACAGAGCTGAACAGTTCTACACTGGCCCCCAGGACGACGAATGTGGTGTCGCGATGGCCGAGTGTAACCCAGACGGACCGGTCATGGTCTACATCAGCAAGATGATACCCAACTCCAGTGGTCACTTCATTGCCTTTGGTCGTGTGTTCTCTGGCACAGTCACTCCAGGCATGACCATCCGCATCCTGCAACCCGAGTACGACCCAGTCACCAAGCCCACTCTGGTCTCCAGCAAGCGTATCACCAATGTCGTGCTTATGATGGGTCGTCGTCAGGACACCGTCGAAGCCTGCCCTGCTGGCAACATCATTGGATTCACTGGCATTGACTCTTACCTCGTCAAGACTGGTACTCTCACCACATCAGCTGTGGCTCACTCCATTGCTCCAATGAAGTTCTCTGTGTCACCTGTTGTCCGTGCTGCTGTCTTCCCCAAGGACGCATCTCAGCTGCCCAAGCTGATCGAAGGCATCAAGCGTCTGATCAAGACCGATCCAGCCATCCAGCACTTCAGGTCCGACTCAGAGAATGTCATCGCGGCAGTTGGCGAGCTCCAGCTCGAGATCTGTCTCAAGGACCTCCAAGAGATCGCTGGATGCGAGATCATCTCCTCGCAGCCTGTAGTCAGCTACCGCGAGACTGTCACAATCGAGTCCCAGGTCTGTCTCTCAACGAGTGCCAACAAGCACAACAGACTCTATATCAAGTGTGCCCCACTCAACCCAACTCTGGCCAACGACATTGACTCCAAGACAATCGATCCAATGTCCAACGACATCCTCAACCGTGTCCAACAGTTTGCTCAATACGACTGGGCTCCCGCCGAAACCCGCTCAATCTGGGCGTTCGGTCCAGATGGCAACGGTGCCAACGTCTTTGTCAACCAAACCACTGGCGCGCAGTACCTCAACGAAGCTCGCGATCTGCTCGTCGACGGATTTGATGCAGCCACATCCACCGGTGTGCTCTGTGGTGAAGAACTCAGAGGCGTCCACTTCAGTCTGATGGATGTCACACTCATTGCCGATGGTGCCCATCGTCGTTGCGGCCAACTGACACCCGCCGCTCATCGTGCCTTCTGCTCCGCCCAGCTCTGTGGTGTTCCTCGTCTCGTCGAGCCCATGTACCTGGCTGAAGTCGTCGTGCCCAACAGGATGATGAGCGTTGTCAACCGTTGCATTGCCTCCCGTCGCGGTATCCTTGTCTCTTCCAAGGAGAAGTCTGGCATGAATGGCATCTATGTCATCCGTGCCCATCTGCCCGTCGCCCAATCATTCGGCTTCCTCAACCTGCTCAAGACCGAGACCAGTGGCCAAGCCTTCCTTCAGATGACCTTTGATCACTGGGCACTGCTCGACCAAGATCCACTCGATCCCAAGACCGATGCCTACAGAATCGTCAGGGAGATCAGAGCCAGAAAAGGACTTCCAGTTGATGTACCGCCCCTCACTGAGTACCTCGACCGTCTCTAACTCAATAAATCACTCATTCATATTGCTTTCCAGGTCTCCTCGCCCACTCCCAACTCTTGGGAGCGTGGCTTGGACGCGAGACCTGGGCGACCAACCAAACAAACATCAGCTGTTCAATCAAAGTAAGGGCGAGGGTAAGGGTAAGGGTATGTACACTTGGGGATGTTATTGGATTGTGAGGGTTCGGCAGGTGGCCTGCCATTAGTTGTTGGTGGATGATGTGGTCGATATATAATACACGCCCTTCTTGATATAGTCAGGGTTGTAGAATGATATCGACTTGTTCTTTAGCATGTGCCCCACCAGGTTGTCGGACAGTATCAGCGCGTACGTGTTGTCAATGACGCGAACGTTGCAATAGGCGCCAAAGCCCATCTTGAGATAGTAGTCGTGGACACCTGGGTGGAAGGGCAGGTTGAATGTGTGGATGTCGCGGATCAGCAGACTGGATGACACCATATTGATTGTGATCTTGCGTAGTGTTGCTGGCACGGAGCCAATGATGCTCTGGTAGTTGGACGACAGTGACAGCTTGCGCAGCGCGGGCGGCAGGGAGCCGGTGCTCAGCGGCTGCTTGAAACTGTAGCCAAACTTCAGCTTGGTGATTGAGGGTGGGCAGTGTGATCGTCGGTTGATTGAAGTTGTCGCCTAGCTTGAGTATCACCCAGCGACTCGGGGGAGCGAGTGCGCTGCGATCGGGTTGGGCTGCTTGAAGTTGTTGCCCAGTGTCAGCTTAGTTATTGAATGCGGCAGCACACCCTTGGTGAGGATGTTGGTGTCCAGCTCTGAGAAATGGTATAGCTCCTTGAGTGAGGACGGAAGTGCGCCAGGCACCAGCACGTGGCGGAACTTGTAGCCGACCGACAACGAAGTTAATGATGACGGCAGCGTTCCAATATCCATCTGCTGATTGAAATCGTGTGAGAGCTGTATAGTCTGGAGGGATCGCGGCAGCGTGCCCGGCGGGATCGGCCGGTTGAAGATACCTTTGAATCGAAGCACCTCCAGCTGAGAGGGCAGCGCCTCTGCATCGATGTCCTGATTGAAGAGGTAACCCAGCGATAGGATGGTGAGTGACCCGGGCAGTGAGCCATGAATAATACGCTGATTGAACTTGTATCCCAGCGATAGGCTGGTGAGCGACTCGGGCAGCGAGCCTGGCGCGATTGGAGTATCATAACTCACGCCAAATGTCAGAGAGATGAGTGATTGAGGTAGCATGCCATAGACCAGCGGTTTGTTGAATGAGGCGCCAAATGTGAGTTCGACAAGTGAGCCCGGCAGCGAGCCGGGCGCGATCGCCTGATCAAACAGCCATCCAAAGGTGAGTGATGTAAGCAGCCCTGGCAGCGAGCCAGGCGCGATCGGGTGATTGAACAGCTTTCCAAATGTGATTGCCATGAGCGACTCAGGAAGCGAGCCGGGCGCAATTGGTTTGTTAAAGTTGTTTCCAAAGGTGAGCGAAGTGACCGACTGGGGCATGTCGCCCGGCTTGATCTCGTCGTTGAAGGAGTTGTCAAACGCCATCTCGATGCCCGTGCGAAAGTGTGCCGCGTCGACGTCCGGACGCTGCATCACCAGGTCGAGGAACAGCGGGAAGATGCTCTCGCCCTTCTTTGTCAGCACGACATTCGATCGCAAGTTCAATGTATGTTTATAATGATTGATCAAGGCGTGCAGAGTCTTGCTGGCGAAAGACAAACATACAATGTCAATCGGTTCCAACAACAAGTCCAATATACCCTTGAACACTATAACAGGTAATGACTCCATAATATAAGTATAAAAATGTATGTATGTATGTTTTATCTCTGCTGTTATTTAACACATCAAATTTGATCAATGATTGATTTGATGTGGTGGCAGTGTGTGACAGTTAGGACCCAAAGCCCGATCCGAGGCCCCCACTAAGGGGTCGAGGTCAAGGCCGGGCCTTTCACCCATTTTGACAATCTACAATCATGACGCTCGGGGTCTAACTAATTATTTGTATAATATCTAGATTTAGTTAAGTAATCGGTAAGTCTAAGTGTACAATCAATCAATCAATAACATGATATGATGTTTGAAATCCTTCAGGCCAAGAATGAGAGGATCAGATCGACCATTTATTTGATGTCTGGTCCTGTCCGCGACATTCTACTTAAACCTACTACAAGTTCATAAATGAATTAATCATGGAGAATTTGTAGAGTTGGGAGCAGTGGCACTGGAGTCTATTGGAGTATGTGGCTGCTGGAGTGGCTGCTGTGGCTGACCAATATTCTTATTGTTGACCAGCTTGATGGCGATCCATTTGGTTCCCTTGATCACTGGATCTCCTTGATGTAGTGACATTGGGTCTACCTCTCCATTTGGCTTACAATTGTAAAAGAGAACGGCATCGCCCTTGATTGGCCTGACCTTTACCTTGGCCTCGGGGAATGATGTCTCGCCACCCTCCTCCACCTCTGTCAGATACATCAAAATGGTACACATCCTCTGGCCATACAGTCCAATCTTCATCGCACCATTCGCCGTCATTGGATTGAAGTAATCAAAGTGTGCCGATGTCTCTTCACCTGGATTATATCTAATGAATTATTGATTGATGGGTCAGATATGAATGTAATCCCTTGATGTTGTCCATGTTTGATTGAGTGATCAATCATACCTAATAACCTGCATCACTTCACAACTCATGTTCATATTTACAAAGGTCTTCATTCTATTTAATATATTCTGAGTTGTTGGATGATCCTCTTCTCCTTCCTTTAGGAACACTCCCCATCCACTTCGATGAACACCTGTGTAATGAATCATAGAGAGGTTAGTTAGTCGCATGTACATGCTACATTGATTGGACGTCAATATCCTCCATGGATGATACTTTACCTGATGATATCTCATTGCATGGTCTTAGCTTTTGCTTTGATATATCTATGAGGTAATCACATTCCTTGTCGCTTAGGAAGTTGGCTATTCTATAAATCCTTGGATGCTCACACACCTTTATCAGTCTTGGCGCTCCATCATCCACCACCTTATCCTTATTCTCCACCTCCGCATCCTCATTATTGCTCAACATCATCATCATTTTTGGTAAATTTTGGTTGGTTGGTCTCTGTTGGTTTAATATTTAAAAATATGATTGATCTGACTAACTATCAAACTAAATGTATATATATGTATATGTATATATATGTATTATATGTATGTATATTGTATCTCTGTCTATTCTCCTCTGGCTGATGCAACAACAACAAACATGCAACTTCTTGCTATGTTGTTCCCTTTGCTTCTGCTTCTGTTGCCAGTTTCCTGCTATTAATGTGATGTGTGTTTGTTGTTATGTTGGAGTGTGTGTGTGAATGAAATTGAATGAATATGGTAGTGGTGAGTGATCCAGAGTGTATGAATGTGGTTGTGGCTCAAACAAACAAACACCATCTATCTCTTCATCTCCACACTCACTCGATGCTTGTTATCAGCTCACTCACTCACTCACACACTTACCCCCTCTCTTCACCAACCCCGCAACATCCTTTCAAGCATCCATCCAACTACCTCCCGCATCTATATTACCCTTTGCCTACTTACTTACTTCCAATCACACATTCATTTCATTTCATTCATTCATTCAGTCATTCATTCAGCATCATCATCATCTTCGTCGTTGTTGTCTGTTGTTGGACTTTAATTTCGTCGAGCTTAATTAACCATTCCTCTTTGAGTCATTATGAATTAAACAAATAGATGTTGAGCGATCACATGGTGTTGTTGTGACGATCAGGTGATGTATTTGAATGATCCAAGGGATGTGAGGTGGTGATACAATTACATGTCATCGTTTGGAATGTGTAATTACAATGACCATCTTATGACAACTTTGATCGATCAGAGTTACTACAATATCTATTGATTGCCCATATGTGGAACATGATCAATCAATCAAGCAGTTGTGGATGAGTGCCTGGTTGTCCTATTTTGAACTTCGTCGATATGATTTTTTTTCATTTTGAGGTGATCAAAGACGACATTGTGTGAGGAGTGAGCAGGTTGTCAGCCCCAGTGAGAGTGATCACCAACAACTCATTTCACTCTTGTAAATACAAACATAACATATACATATAATACATTTTAGACACAATGAGACAGGTTCCAATCGGTCAATTCATCAACTACCAAACCAAGCACTTCTGGCCATTCATGGTCGGAGCTGTCTTCTGGGCTGGTCTCATCACCAAGGTTCACATGGGTATCACTGGTACGTATTATTATTATTACGCGCTACGTAATATATGATTGATGCTCAACTAACACATAATATATATATATATATATATAATGTACAACAACAGACAATGATAGAAAGAACTCTGTCTACTGGCAGAAGATTCAGAGAATCCAGCACCCAGAGCTGTTCAAGGATGGACACTCCCACTCTGCTCATCACTAAACAACGATCATCGACAACAACCATCTTGTATCCTTTTTTATTATATTGTAGAGCACGCGAAACAAGCAGTCGAAGCAGTCGAAGCAGCACAGCAACAACAGCAAATGTAGCAAGATGCTAGTATATATACATAACAGCAGGCTGTGATCAGCAATAAATCAATCATATCAACATATATATATACGAATGATGACGATGATAATGACGATTATGACGATGATGATGACGATGGAACACAGAATGCGACGATAATGATAATGATACATTACAGGGCAGGTCGAACAGTTTATTCAACGAATGTTTGATTGAGGATGTTCAACAGTAGCATAGCGGACACATCCTCCTGTGGAGTGTCCTTCTAACCAATGCTGCTGATCCGGCCTCTCAAGATGCTCGAGCATCTTGTTTGAAAGAAGCATTTGCTACCAAGATATATCCTCGATATGTTGAAGTAGTTTTGGTTACAGGATAGATACTAGTAGCCTGAATGTACATGTCACCTTGATTAAGTAGACATTGCCAGGGCACTAACCAATATCAATACGACCAATAGTATACATATACAAATCCAATGACCTGTTGTCCTTGATTCTTGAGCCAGACGAACAACGCCTCTTGTTGCATTCTTGAGTTTTGCTGTCGTTGTGTCTACATGAGAGTTCAAGTCATCCAACATTATACCTTGTGACTCTGCCTCTCTACCTATATTGATTGCAATCTCCTTCTGTCTTGTAACACTATATGACAAGCTGTCCAATAATTTATCTTGGTCTACAACAATAAATGTATGAATGAATAACTAATCCAACGACATCCCCTGAACAATCCTCCCGACACATACCCTGCATCATATTATTCTGTTGATCTACCAACTCTTGATTGGAGTATAATTTAGTATTCTCTGTCTCCTGAGGTGCTCCGAATTTCCTTCCACCTGGCACTCCATTGTCATCTTCGAATAACAACTTCTTCCTGGACAAGAGGAGACGATACGATAATTGTTAGAAGGTGCTTGTAATAAGTATTATCTTTCCCTAATAACTTACTTGGCAGCCTCTGATAAATATGGAGAATTAAAGTTTGGTCTATCTCTTCCAACTCCCATTCCTCCCAATCCACCAGAATTATAACTATTATTATTATTATTATTCATTTCGTTGATTTATTGATTGATCAAATAATATCTTTAATTAATGAATACTTCTTTATCTGTTCTTCTTCTTCTTTGTATGTATGTATTTACATATATGTATGTATGTATGTATGTATTATTTATCACACTAGGATACATAACATGGTCTTGACTTCAACTTATATGTTGAGTGTTTACGTGTTCAGAGTGTTGATCCATGTTTGTTAACTCAATGGAGTGAGTGAGTGAATGTGTTAGTGTGTATGTGTGAATGTGTGTGTCAACATTCATTCATTCTCTCATTCCTCTACAACTATTCGAACAATCCAACCACATCTTCATCTTTTACTTGTTCAACAAGGTGGTTGATTTCCTTATTATATGAGAAGTAACGTTATTTCAACTTGTGGTCAATGTCAGTTGTTGACAAAGTCAAACTTAGCCTTGTCATAGGCATATGTGTGAGATAAAAAAACAACATCCCCCATGAGATCCTAATCAGGATATGGGGGTTGGCGCTTCGACAGTGACACCCAACCAAGCATTGTCACTCACTGACTCTGCAGCCACTCAGTCAGTGCGCACCTGACCATTGATGTTGTATTGAATAAAGCTTGCCCAACATTGCATTTAATAAGCAACAACCTCCTCACTTATCTTATATTTATAATTATATAACTTATATACTTTATACACAAACACATATATAACAATGGTATGTAGTTATTATCTCTATTCAACTCTATCTATCTATTCAACAACAACAACAACAGTCTTTACTAACAATCATTCCCCATCGATTGTCAAATGTGATAACAAACAATAGAACTCACGTACCATTAGACAAAAGACTGAGAAGTATCATAACAACATTGAGAAGAGAGGAAAGGTTGAGGTCAAGAAGAAGGACAGTCTTCCAATCAACCCATACGTCCTGGCCTTCATTGTCTTTGTCGTCGTTGGTTCATGTATGTATCTATGATGATGGTCTAGTTCGTGATATATGTCATATGGTTATATATACTAACTCCACCACCCTCAACTAATCCTCAACAATATAGCTCTCTTGCAAATCTTCAGAGGTCAATAAACTCATTGTCTATTATACGTTGTAATGTAAAGTCATCTAAATGTTTGGCGATTCAGTCGCATCAGTCTCATTCATTCTCATGTGTCGGATATACAATGTATCACCATACTTCCATTGATTCAACAACAATATTGAATGACCTAGGTAGGGTTAGGGTTAGGTAGGGCAAGGGCAAGGGTAGGGTAAGGGTTTGTCTCAAAAGTCTCGCTTTTTTCAAACTTGAGGTCATTCATTCGTCTTTGAAGCACACAATCACAGTCATTCAAATCAAGGTGGATCATCAACAACAACAACATATATAAGAGATGAACTCTATCAGCTTGGTATCGAAATCTTCATCATCAATACTGTTCAATGCATCAATTGGATCAATGAGCATCAATGGTCTGCGATATGTTTCAAACTTAAGGAATAACCAACCTCGTGTCAGGAGAACAACATGCATCCTGTCCAATGGTGCAACCATTTCAGTCAGAACATCATTGCCCTATGCCAAGAAGTGGAGATCAACTCTCGACGTCTTCAACACTACTCCCGACTTTGAGTTCGACAGCATCAAGGAGATCAAAGAGCGTCGCAAGAAGTTCGCCGACGACAAGTACAGCGAGTTCAAGAAGTAAACATATATGTGTGCACACTGGACAGACAGACAGGCAGACAACAAGACATCGAATAAACAGAATAGAACTAGCGCAGCGATATATATATATATACATAACAACGAACGAATGAACGAATGAATGAGCGAATGAATGAATGAACACAAGTTGTTTACAACACGCGACTCGAACGGTAACAAGACTGTTACTGTTGCGACTGCGCAGGTGGTACATCGTTTATTGGATCGGCAGTTGGCTTGGAAAGGAACGTCGTCTTCTCAGACCTCTCGATGTCCTGAATATGTTCCAGCAGGCCGGGCAGTCGCGAGCGCTTGGCCAGTGACTCGACATTGTTGCGCTCCAGCACAAACGCGATACGGTCAGCGTAGGATAGGTCGTCGAGAAGGTTGGTCTCGATGTCTCCGTCGCTCTCCTCGCTGAACATTATCTCGCCGGCGATCGGTTGCTCGGCGTCGGCTGTGGCGACAACTTCCTGTTCGCGATATAGTATTGCCGAGTGATCATTGGTTATCTTTAGCAGGTTGATGCCACCCTTGACCGCCATCAGGTTGCTGTACAGTCTGTAGATGTTCCACGCCAAGAACACGTTTGGGCCGGGCAGAATCGAGGCGGCCACCGAGATTGGTATGACACAGATGTTGATCAAAGACCACAGCTTGTGGTACTCCGTGCGTTGGCGAGCCACTATACGTGCGTATCTGTTGGCACGGCGAGCGCCCAGCTCGGGTGGGTAGTGGATGGTGAATTGAGGCTTGCCATGAGTCTCGTGGAACTGATTGATCGCCAGCTGGGTGGATGTCTTTTTAGGATGATGATGGTCCATCATTGGATGATGTTGATGTTGATGATGTTGTTCATTATGTTTATGTTGATTTGGATGTATGATCAGTGATGCACTGTTGACGTTGGAGAACTGAAAGATCATCTTTTCTTCGGGATGAATGGTGCCTTCCAACCTGCGTAACAGGGTCTTTAGTTTGCCAGCCATACCCTTGCCCTCCTCTGCATCATCAATCTCCTTCTTTGACTCGGCTGCCTTTGTCTTGAGATATTGTACGAATGATGCTAGTCGTCCTGTTGGCTTGGGCTTGTCTGTCGTTGTACCTGTCGCTGCAACTGGTGCGGCCAAGTCCATTGACTTGACCAAGAACTCTGACTTCTCACAATATAGTGTCCATCTTCTTGATGAAAGTTGTAATAGATATACTCTCATAATAACTATTATCTCTTTGTTGTTGTTGTAACTCGACAAATCATCAGGTGTCAAGTCATCATTCATTCGTCTTTTGACAGGTCCAGTCTGCAGGTCTCAAAGCCCCAACCGATGTTTTGATCAACACAGACACAACTTCATGATTAATTGATTAGTATTATTTATTTATTATTTATCTATTTAAATAACCTCTGGACAACTTGTCTGACACTGTTCTTGAAGAGGAAGGCCAGGACACCAACGGCACCAACTCCGAATATTGCCAGCATGCTGGATGAGTAACGGCTCTGTCCGACTTGGTTGTCCTTGGTTGCCTCAGTCTTGGTGGAGGCGTCAGTTGGCTTGGTGGCAGCCTTGGCGACTGGTGAGGTTTGGGACTTGGCAGCAGATGGGTTGAGCTTCTCCATGACGACCCTCAAGTTGTTGTGAAGATCCTGGTTCTCTGGCTCCACCTTGATACCCTGCACGAAGGCATCCTTGGCCTCCTGATGGCGACCCAGGGCCACCAGGGCGATACCCTTGCGGAGGTATCCCTTGCCCCAGTTGGCGTTCATGCCAATCGACGAGTTGGCATCCTCCAGGGACTGTGGGTACTTTTGCAGCTTGAAGAAGGAGATTGAGCGGTTCGAGTAGACCATGTGCGATGGGCTGTGTTGGATCGACTTGGTGTAGCTGTCGATCGATTGAGTGTAGCATCCATGCTTGAAGTACTCGTTACCTTCGTTCTTGTAGTGGACGGACAGTTCAGTGTCTGACAGGATGTTGGGGTCTGGCTCGGCGACAGCCTCTTGTTGAATTGTTGATGTGGTCGATGGTGAAGATGTGGTTCCATTCATGTGGATGTGCTCGTTGCTGGCTGGTGTTGATTGTGTCTCTTGTTCCTGTGCTGCTGGGGTCTCTTGATTGACCTCCTCTGCCTTTATCTCCTCGACGGCAGGCTGAACGACTTGAACATTCTCCTCTTCCTCATCCTCCTCGATCTTTGGTTGCTCCTCAACGGGGGCAACGACTGGTGCCTCTACAACAGCTGGCTGCTCAACAACAGCGACATCCTCCTCCTCGATCTTTGGCTCCTCAACAGCAGCGACGACGGCTGGTTGCTCGACAGCAGCGACTGGCTCCTCGACAGCAGCAACTGGCTCCTCTACAACTGCTTGAGGTTGCTCAACAACTGGCTCCTCAACAACTACTGGCTCTTCGACAGCAACAGGCTCGACAGCAGCGACTGGCTCCTCAACAGCAGCAACTGGCTCCTCAACGGCAGCGACTGGCTCCTCGACAACAGCAACTGGCTCCTCCTTGATCTCCTCGACTGCAGCAGCTGGTTGCTCCTCCTGCTTGACTTCCTCGACAACAACAGGCTCCTCCTTGATCTCCTCAACAACAGCTGGTTGCTCCTCGACGGCAACTGGTTGCTCCTCCTCGACGGGGGCAGCTGGTTGCTCTTCCTTGGCCTCTTCGACAACTGCTGGCTGCTCCTCGACAACAACTGGCTCCTCGACGGCAGCAACTTGCTCCTCCTTGACCTCCTCGATGGCAGCGGGCTGCTCCTCAGCAACAGGTGCTGGCTCGACGACATTCTCAGCCTCAGCTTGAACCTCAGTCTGGGCCTCAATCTGGACCTCAGCCTCAGGCTCAACCTTTGGCTCAACGACAGCGACCTCCTCTGTGGCAACAGTTTGTGTGTTCTCTTCTTGATTGATTGGTTCCATTTGTGATTGCAATGTATCTACTCTATTATTAAGTTGATCAAGTTGTGATATAACCTCAGTTTGTCTTGTTTCTAATTCTTCTTGTTGTTGTTGTTGTTGAGGTTGAACTTGCTCTTCTTGGTGTTGTTGAGGTTGTTGCTCTTGTTGTTGTGGATGAGGAGTATTATGTGACTTCTTATTCTTCTTATTCTTATTCTTATTGTGTGATTGATGAGACATACTATTAATAATGTGTTTGATTATATGATTAATGAAAGATTGCAATACTGTATGTCGCGGACTCGAGATACGCCCGTGTTCTTTTTGTAGGTTTGTCAATTCCTTCGTCGTGTGACTCGTTGATTGAACCTGACTCAAAACTTGCAAGTCTGTGTGTGGGGAAGTTTTGGTTGACACCTTGGAATGACGAGTTGTTCCACTAATCAATCCCATTTGATTGACTAACTTTATTAATATATATACATCAATCAATATATATATTCATCTTGTTGATTGGATAGATGATCACACTTAATGATACCATATCCATTGATATTCAATTGTTTGGAATATTTGGGGATGGTTGGATAACGGAAGAATATATGATCAGATAATTGTGCCAGGTTGAATGAGTTAACTTTGTCCAATCCAATTGTTATATGTTTGATGGTTAATGGAATACAATGCTGCTTGCAATCGAATGAGGTGAATCCAGGGACATTGATAAATGTCAACTTGATAACGGTTGGTGGCAGCGGCAACATTCCCAAATATCCACTACGAGTCATGTCGTGAAACTCCAACGATGTTATTGATGGCGGTATATCGCATGCCTTGATACTACAATGTTTGTGCAGGGATAGTCGTGTGATTGAACATGGTAGAGGACTGCCACTGCTGATGCCAGGTTGAATGATGCAGCGGGTCAAAGTGAGCTTCTCCACCCCAAACGGGATGGGCTGTTTGACCATGATATTATTCATGGCGTACATTTCTAAGCAGACTACAATGTCTCAGTTGGGACATTGGCATTGTTGAGATGTCCAGAGGTTTCATCAAGTCCTTCACTATCAACTTTTCCATGTTTGGAAACAGTGTAGTCCAAGGTGGCTCCAAATCATTATTGCCATATTTGTATGTATTGATTGAGAGCGACTTGAGATTGGGATATTGTGTGCCGGCGATGATAGTCCAGTCATATGCGTACAGGTGCAGCAGGGGTGTATGATAGATCACACCACGGTACAATCTGGGCAGATAGATGGTTGTGAGGCTGGTAGGGAGACTGAGCAAGGGGTAAATATATGGTTCGCGGACACGACTTAGATCAAGGATGGTTAGTGAGGGCGGTAATTGTCCAGTATAATTGAGTGGATGATGGAATGTCTCCCCAAACCCAAGAGTGAGCAGTGAAGAGGGCAGTGCATCAGCGGTGATGGGATGATTAAACAAGTTCGGAAGCAACAGTTTCTCCAGCGTGCTTGGCAGGGATCCAGGTGTGATTGGATGGTTCCAATTATGCACATTTTTGATGTCCAATATCTTCAAGCTCATTGATAGTTGACCATTGATGTTTAGTGGCTGTGTGAGCGTGTTGCCAACCATCTTGAGATGTGTGAGTGTAATTGGAAGTTGGTCAAAGTTGACCGTCGTATCATAGATGGACAGACTTGTCAAGGGCAGATGTAACAAAGAGAATGGTTCAATTCGAATGACACTCAAGTTAACCTTTACGTCGGATCGTTGATCAATAAACTGATCGATGATACCCTTGATCTCCCTCTCCTGTTGCTTCATATCCGAGAATGGACTTGTCCTACCCATAGAATAACGGAAGTTGACCTTCCTTAGACTGTCAATGTTCAATGTTCTCAGATAAGCCTGTCTCTCTGATTGAGTGATTGATTGATTGATTGAATGAGTCAGTGAATGAATGAATGAATTAGTGAACAAGTGAGTGATCACAACAACATACATACTTAGGTCGTCTGGTGTTAGACCTTGTTGAGCGAAGGTTTGAATGTCGATTGTTATTTGACGTCTGTTTAGAATGAAGTTATTGTTGATGATATCTTTGTATGAATTGAGGTGATGGTGATGGTGATAGTCTTTGTGGATATCAAGTGCACCTCTAGGACATTGTATATCCTCTTTAGTATTGATAAAGTTTAGATACTTGTGTCTTTGTTCAAACAATCTCTTACACAACAATGTAACAAACATCCTATCAACAATCAGTTCAAGATATCCAACTATCTTGCCAATGATAATCAATGGTAGTTGATCCATTATCTCTATCTTTATCTCTTGTATGCTGTGTGGCAACACAAGTGAATGAATGAATGAAATAGCGATGTTTTAATCATAAAGTTCAAGTTGGAGATCATTCTTGGAGAAGAGGTGATTGATGTTGAATGAGGCCTGGGTCCTGAGTTGATGCTCGACGAAGCGGAACTCGCAGAGGATTGAGGAGAAGGTGTCTTTGGTGACACTGCCACCGGGATTGTGCACTGTGTCATAGGGGTCCTCAATGCATATTGGCTTGTCGCGTGCCCTGAACGCCTTGTCCAGGTAGTGTGGCACATCGGTGAATGCCACCAACTGGCCATATCGTATGCTGATCAGGTTGTTCCTAAAGTCCATCGTGCTGTAATACCTGAAGAATCCATAGAACAGCTCGGCCAAAGTCTTTCGATTGTTGTTGTTGTTGCCAATGACCTGTCTTTGTGAGTCCTGAAGGTTGGGTACAACGGGTGGCTCGCAAGTCTGCAGGTAGTGGATGGCCATGTTGGCGTGGGCATACGATGACAGTGTGTGGGTCTGCGTGTTGTTGATGTTCTTGCGCGATGCCCAGTGCTTGATAAGTACGAGCAGTGGCTGGACACGACTGTCCACCTTGGTGTATGACTTGATCAGAGTAGAGTTGCGTACGGCGTAGTGATTGTTGAAGCAGAGGTCAAAGTTGACATTGTCCAAGTGGAAGCGAACGATGGGTACGCGTGCAGTGGTGATCAGGGCGTCAACATGATAGCCAGCGTCAAGGAGTGCCAGTGCCACCTTCTCCATGAGTTGCTCCAGGGTGAATGTCGTCTGAACGGTCATGCACACATCGATGTCGCTGCCCGTGAGCTCGATGCCATTGACGAATGATCCGTATGCCTGCACGTTGCAATCAGGGAACTTGGCGGTCAGTACTCTGTCCAGCATGTTAAATGCTTGTTGCTTGTTCATGTGATCCTCATCACTGCAGCGCACGGACTCGTATATTTGCTCGAGCAAAGAGCTCATGGCATGGAGGTTGGTGCCCGATGGCAGGTACATCATCGATGGATCGGGACGCATTCCTGCCAGTCTTCGGATATTGGTCTTGATAGTAGTCTTGATCTCTTTGATCTGTTGTCGTTTGTATGAGACATCCATCTCGTTGGCCATTGTTGACTTTATCTCCTCCAAGAAATCATAGGTCATTGTCAACACCTGGTTGTAGTCGGCATTGGGGTTGATCAATGATAACTTGGAGAGCATCCATGTGAATAGACCTGGCTGTTCCTGTTGTACATCAGTCTCCTCGTTTGCAAAGGGGACACCATCAATGTCGTCGCCATTGTTGTCTCTTTCAAAGTCTTCTTCGTCATCGTAGTCTCCGAGTATGGCTCGGTCTTGCTCTTCATACATCTGCCTCTTCAGGTCGGCCAGGATACGCTCGTTTGGTGTGACCAGTCCATCAGGGTTGTTCATGTCATGATGCTTGACCGTGAAGGCCATCGTCTTCATGTCGGTCAACGTAATGACATTGTTGGCCTGAGTGCACTTCCTGATGTACCTGATGTACGAGCCCCAGAGCTCGTCCTGCTCCAGCAGTTTGCCATTTCCAATGATGTACAATGCATAGCGGGCACGCGTGATGGACACGTTGAGACGACGTCTGTCGGTGAGGAAGCCCATTTTGCTCTGGCGCACGGTAGACAGGATAATAATATCCTTCTCACCACCCTGGAATCCATCGACAGTCTTGTTGGTGATATCCATGCCGCGGACATTGAACTCCTTCTGCATCACCTCCTGAAGACGTTTGTTCTGTAGCTTGTAGGGTGTGATGATGCCGATGCTCATCTTCTTCACTGAAGGGTAGTCTTGCACCAGCTTCTTGATCAACAGGAACACCATGGTGACCTCTTGCGAGTTCTGGAATGACTTGGGGCCAGACTCCTCGCATGATTCGGCAATGTCATAGAAGTTGAGAGGTCCATAGCTTCGGGTGTTGTTGTAGAATGGTTGCTTGAACTCTCTGACGGTGCTAGAGTCGACGACTTGACCATTGTAGAATGCACGCGAAGGGAACTCTGAGATGGTCGGATGCATACGATACTGCACGGTGAGGAGGTGGGTCGGGTGGTCGAGTGACAGGCGCTCAAACAGCGAGCAGTCGTAGCCATTCCTTGTGCACACACGCGAGAATACCGTTGGAGGCAGTTGCTTGGGGTCACCGACCAGGATCATCTTCGACGCGCCAAGCTGTAAGGGGATGAGACCGCTCGGTTCGACTGATTGTGTGGCCTCATCGACAATTATGATGTCAAATCTATGATGGATGAGCATGTTGGAGCCAGCAGAAGACAGCGTGCCCAGCACGATGCTGGCCTCTTTTAGCACCTGTTTCTTCTCTTTGAAGGTTGGATAATACTCGAGGCACATTGGATGTAGCTCACGCCTGACGGCCTTGAGTTGGCCAAGTCGAACAACCATGGGATGGCTCGTCGTGTCAAGATTGGGGTGGAGTTGTTCGAAGGCGAGGCGGTCCACTATTGGGGTTCCCGACTCATTGAATAGTCCTTTGTTTTGAATACGAATGGCAATCTCATCGACGGCTGTGTTGGATGGAGCACAGACCATAATCTTGATACTTGGGACTGCATTGAGAAAGACGCTGAGAAGTGCAAGGATGGTCTTGGTCTTGCCCGTACCTGGAGGACCCTGGATCAATGTGAATCCAGTGGGAGCCATGCACTTGGCCACGGCATCCAACTGTGATTGATTGAGTGTACGACTCAGAACAGTAGCCATCGATTGAGAGACGGGATATCTCTGTGACCATTTGTCCGGTGTTACTGGTCTTGGTATGAGCACCTGGATCGCCATCTTGCAAGAACTCAGAGAGTTCACAGCGAACAACTCACGTTGGAATGTGATAAAGTTGGACACCTTGCACACTCTCAGTTTGATTGGGTACTTGGTTGATGTGTAGGTGCGAGGATTGTACAGCCATTGTACGACTTGCTTGCACCTGGACGTGGTGTCTCGTATCTCTACTACCACGGACTGAGAAGTGGGTACATGCTTGATACGGCTTGCCGACTCAACATAGGCCATGACATGGAGTGTTTGGTTGGTACTGGTATCAGTTAGCGTGACCAATACCAGGTCTTGCCAGATGAGCTCTTGTAGCATGCTGGTGAGGTTGATCTTGAACGGAAGCATCACTGACTTCTGTCTTTGTCTCACTCGATCGCTAACCGAATGCATGTCCATTTCCAGGGAGGACGAGGCTAACTCCTTTGACTGAAAGGTGAGCTCGCCAGTCTCTTCTTTGACCAAAGCGCCCTTCTCCTGGAACTGTGACACCACCTGAGCCTTTAGCTCTTCAAACATCAATGGAAGAGTATACTCCTTGTACTGTTGATTGGAGAAGTATCGTTTCTTTTCCACTTCCATGCGATGAGCCAAGTATGGTAGGCGCTCAGGTTGGCATTCCAAGAAGAAATTGACAATATCGCGGAACTAAATGTTTGATTGATTGATTGTGAGTGATCGAGTGATCGACTGAGTGATTGATTGATCGACTGAATGAGCACACATACTGATGAGTTGATGCAATTAACATAGTCTTGGATCTTTGGTGGTTGAGCAGGAGTTGAGGGGATGGCTTTGGGAGTCTGTGGATAGGTAGGCACGGGCTTGGGTTGTGCCGGAGTTGACTTGGGATAGGATGGTGTTTGGACAGGTGTTGGAACTTTCGCTTGGGTTGTCTTTGGTTGTGTATGGTATGGGGCCGCCTGGACATGGACTCGAGCAGGAGCCTTCACTGGAGTTGGCTTGGGTGCTGGCACTTGGACTTTGATAGGTGTATGTATAGGAGGTGCTGGGATAGATCTTTTCTTTATCAATTTACACTGTGCATGCTGTATTTGTACATCGTTTGAGTTTGAAACTTATTCAACTACAAGGTAATAGGTATATCTAATACTTACGTAAGTCTTATCCATTTTACTAAGATGTGAACTTAGTTCTTTGCTGATGAGATTGAACCCAGCGTCTCTTTTGTGAGCATGGGCTGCCTGGTCTGCTTCGGAACCGCCAGCCAACTTTTTAGGACAAAGTTTAGCGAATGTCTCACGTACTACTTTGTAGAAGGTTTTAATCCTTAGATGCTGCTCAATGCGCCATTGACCAAGTGCTATCAGACCCTCCCCTACCGCTGGTGGAGGTGTACTCGGTGGAGGTTGTTGGAGCTGTTGTTGAGGTTGAACTTGAGGTTGTTGAGGTGGTATTGGCTTTTGAGGTTGCGCTCGAGGTGGCTGTTGAGCAAGCTCTAACTGTTTGATCTACCAAGAGTGTTAGGTAAGGAGGTATGTATGTATGAATAGACAGACATACCCTGTCAGTTCTTTGTTTGTTGAGTGCAGTCAGTGAAGCAGTCTTTGCGGATATAATCTTGTCTATCTTCTTCTGACGATCCACTTTGTAGGCATTGATTTGTTGTACAGTGTAGATTGCAACCATTTCAGGAGTTGGCACTGGCATCTTGGTCATCAACTCCTTTACTAGTCTATCATAGTGCATTGTCCTGTTTTTTATCCTCTTGTCAATTGCAATGACAATAGGATCTTTGTTTATAACATGTTGTTGTTGTTGTTGTTGTTGCATTATATATACATATATATTAAAGTTGTATTACAAGTGAATGATAAGGTAATGATCAATTCAAAGTGTAGTGTCCTCTGTACTAAACACAAAAGTACTGTTGTGTAGTGATGTGTTCTTGCCTTGAATTGGATGTAGAAGATATTATTGTGATTGACGGATTGATTTGATTGGTGTCAAAATTGTATTTTCATAATTTGTAACTCAAGTTGTGGTTGGCAAACTCAAGAATCAATTATTGATGGAACCTCAAAGTGTAATGATTGGTAGGGTAATCTTATTCACCTACTATATTAGATGTTTATTGATCTAAGTGAAATCAATGATCTTATTAAGAATTATCAAATCTCTTTGTTAAATATCTAGAGATAAATTTGATCCATTTATTATAAAGTGATTTCGGTATCGATGTGTACCACCGATGCCGTTTCAATGATCGCTTCAGATGACAATTCTATATGTATATAATGTCCATTGAATTTAACATAATAATTAGGCGTAGAATATTGCAAATTATCTTTGGCAACATATATTGGAAGCTTTAAATTCTTGTACTGGAAGTAGAGGTCGGGTGGAGAACCTCTAAGTCTAAATTCTCTATTATTAATTGTAATTGTATCGGCAAGGATAATTTTTTTACCATTGTACCATCCATAGTAGATAGGTTTACTAATAATATATACCCTTTTTTCAATTTGAGGATGTAAATGATCTAAAGTGAGATAATAATCTTCATTCTTCTCATCTGAGGATTTGGGATCTTATCAATTAAAATATTTGATATTATTATTAGATAATTATAATATCAATTTTCAATGTCATTTTTGAGCTATACATACTTGAATCAGTAGAATTATCTAGACAATTATTCACATTGATAAGTGTAATTAAAAGGAAGATTAGGATTAAAATATTTGGTAGCTTGGACATAATTGATTTAGATAATTATTATTATTACTTTGATAATTTTTTTATTATCAATATCACCTTTTATATTGTCAGTTCATCAATCTCTGTTATTAGAATACAATATTATTACAATTATTTACTCATCATGATAATTTACGAATCAATTCCACCACCAACTTTGTACAACCACTACTTCGTCCACTTCCTGTCGTTATTAAATATGTTGTGTAAACACCTCATTATCTGTAATCAATCTTGTTTTCAATTGGCTACTGAATCCGGTACATGTTGGTAAAAGACAATGATATTCTATCTATTCAATTCAATTTCCGAAAACAAGTCTTGGCAGGTTTATGGTTCACTTTGATTTATTATTATATTAGAACTTGATGAAGTGTCTTCTGATAAAGATTTCGATTCATTGTTAGGTTCAGACGATATAATTTTTAGATTTAATAATAGTGGACCTCAAAATTTGATGAGTGATTGATTTAGTAATTGGAATAGTTCACCCAGATCGTGTTCTTTGGAATGAAGTTTATTACATTACATTACAAATGTCCTGATCCTGGACAAAATTGGAGTGTGGGGGAGATGAGTTTGCTCGGTGATTGATCAATCCAGCAATCAATCAATCAACCAGATCAATGAAAAAGACTAGACTAATTCATAAGAATGGACTGAAGATCAGACTTGGAGAGAAGTGAATGTGCTGAGCTGGATGGGTTGGTACGCATGTTGTGCTCCATGATACGGATCTCGTAGAGGATGGTCGGGAATGATCGTTTGTTGACACTGCCGGCAGGGTTGTGCTTGTGATCGATCGGATCCTCAATGCAGATGTGCGAGTGTTTGAATGTGTCCAAGTACTCCAACGTGGCCATGCGCACCGACATCTCCTTGCCATGTCTAATGGCAATCAATTGCTTCTTAAAGTCGAATGAGCTAAAGTATTGGAAGAAGCCGTAGAAGAGCTGTCCGAGCGACTGCGTGTTGCTGACCTTGGGTGTCTTGTCGCGCGCCTTGTCCTGCAGGTTGGGGAGGACAGGTGGCTGGCACGTCTGCAGGTAGTGGATCACCATGTTGGCATAGGAGTACGACGACAGCGTGTTGTTGAGCGTGTCGTTGATGTTCTTTTGCGCGGCCCAGTATTTGATCAAGATGATGAGTGGCTTGACGCGCTTGTCCTGCTCGGTGTACGAGCGGATCAGCAGGGAGTTGGTCACAGCGTTCATGTTGTTGAAGCACAAGTCAAAGGGCACCTGGAGGTCGGGCGACTTGAACCGGATGATGGGCACACGCGCATTGCCAATCAGCTTGTCCACCTTGTAGCCGGCCTTGAGCAGGACGAGTGCCACACGGCGCATCAGGTCCTTGTCGACGTCGTTGTGCTTGTACGACATGCACACATCGATGTCGCTGTCGTGCAGTTGGATGCCACTGACGAATGAGCCGTACGCGGTGACTGAGCAGCCCTTGAAGTTCTGCTGCAGGAGCTTCTCGAGTGCGGTCAGCGCCTTTTGTTTCATGGCGGTGTTCTTGGGGGACAGACTGGAGGTGTACAGGGCCATGAGCTCGTCACTCAGGGTGGTGGAGATGGTCGCGCCATTTGTGTTGGGGTTGACAAGTATGCGCTCGAGCTTGAGTACATGCTCCTTGACAACGCTACGCATCTGCTTCATCTGGCGCCTCTTGGCATCGACGTCGGACTCGTCTTTCCTCGCTCTCTTGATGTGGTCTAGGCATCGATGTGTGTTGTCCAACAGGTCATTGTAGTTGGACTTGGAGTTGGAGCCAAGGGTCATCTTGGCCAGGAGCACGCTAATGTCCTGGTTGACTGTGTCATTGTCGTCGCCAGACTCGTCGGATGAGTCGTCATCGTCGTCACCGTAGACTTCATTGATTGCGTGCTGCTCCTCCTCAATCATCTTCTGTTCAAGGTTGTCCAACTCGCGATCATGCTCGGTGATGAGACCCTCGGGGTTGTTGATGTCGTTGTGCTTGACGATCTCGCCCATCGTGCGGATACCCTTCGAGTCGATGACGTTGTATGCATGGCAGTTGCGCTTGATGTGGTTGATGTACGGGCCCCACAGCTTGTCCTTCTGCAGCAGCGCGCCATGTCCAATGACAAAGTGGGCGAATCGAGCACGCGTGATTCCGACGTTCATTCGGCGCCTGTCGCTCAGGAAGCCGATGCGGTCCTGGCGCACGCACGACAGGATGATGATGTCCTTCTCACCTCCCTGAAAGCCATCGACTGTGTTCACCTTGATGTCCATATCCTTGACGTTGAATACGTTGCGGCGCGCGGCCTCCAGCTCGCGGAACTGCAGCTTGTAAGGAGTGATGACTCCGAAGCTCATCTTCTTGGTCTCGGGGTAGTCGTGGACGAGACGCTTGATCAGCAGGAACACCAGCTCGACCTCGAGCTTGTTACGCAGTGAGCGCTCGCATGCCTCCTCGCGTGAGTCAAGGATGTCGTAGAAGTTGATTGGACCAAAGCGCGACGAATCCTTGTAGAAGGGCTGCTGGAACTGCTCCTCGGTCTTGCCATCCTTGACCTCGCCACCGTAGAAGGTCATCGAGGGGAAGCTAGAGATGAGCGGGTGCATACGGTATTGGACCGTGAGCATGTGTGTTGGGAACACCTCGGACAGGCGCTCAAACAGCGAGACAGAGTAGCCGTAGCGATCGGCTATCATCGAGAAGACTGTGGGCGGGAGCTGGCGTGTGTCTCCAATCATGATCAACTTGCCCGCGCCCATTGTAAGTGGAATGAGAGAGCTTGGCTCCACAGACTGCGTGGCCTCGTCCACGATCACCAAGTCAAACTTTTGGCCATTCAAGGACTTGGAGCCAGAGGCCGACAGCGTGCCCAGCACAATGTTGGCGTCGCGAAGTGCCTGTTTCTTTTCAGAGAGCTTGGGAAGCTGCTCCAGACAGATTGAGTGTAGCGCTGGACTGACCGCCTTGAGCTGGCCCAGACGTACGACCTTGGGACGCATAACCTCGCCAGTCTGACTGATCAGGCCCTGATCGAGGACACGTACTCCAATCTCGTCAACAGCTGTGTTGGATGGTGCGCACACCAAGATCTTGAGTGGACCAACGTTGCGGAACACGCTCAGCAATGCCAGGATTGTCTTGGTCTTGCCCGTGCCGGGTGGACCCTGGATCAGGGTGATGCCCTTGGATTCCATGCACTTCTCGACTGCCTGGAACTGTGAGTCATTGAGAGTGGAGACGGTCTTGAGCACCTTGACCATGCCATCGCTAAGTGTGTACTTCTTGTTGGCGGGGCCAGGGTCAAGTGATGGGGTGAGGATCTGCTTGGCCAGCACAGTGCTGCTGAGGCCGTGTACGGCAACGAGCTCGCGATGGAATGTGATAAAGTTGGAGACCTTGCACAGACTGAGGCTGAGCGAGGCCTTGGCACCATTGAGTCTGTTGTCGTAGAGCAGTCGCACAAAGTTCTGGCAGTGCTCCTTTGTATCTTGGATGGTGGCAGTGCAGAACTGATTGAGTGAGGTGGACATGAGCTTGGACACCTTGCTGATGTAGGCAAGTACGCGCTGCTTGGCGCCCGTGGCAATGTGGGTAGCAGTGATCATTACCAGGTCTTGATAGACGATCTCGTCCACCAAACTCTTGATCTTGACCCTGAAGGACAGGGCGACCGATTGGCCGTCATTGTCCACCAGTGACTGGACCTGCATATCGAGTGATGACTCGCGCATCAGTGCCGAGTTGAAGATTAGCTCGCCATTGGCGTCGCTGACCTCTGCGCCATGCTCTTGGAACTGAGTGACCACCTGTGACTTGAGTTCCTCAAACATCAGTGGCACAATATATCGCTTGTACTGCTCAATCGTGAAGCTCTGTTGCTTCTCTACATGTATAATATGGCTGAGGAATGGTAATCTCTCTGGTTTGCACTCCAGGAATATGTCTACAATTGAATCATACTGAGTTTGGGTGAGGGCGAGGGTTATGGTTAGGGCGAGGGCAAGGGTTAGGACGAGGGTGAGGGCAAGGGTACATACTGATGAGTCGATACAATCGACTGGATCTTCTTGGGCTTGGTATAACTTGGATGCGGCAGTATGGGATTGGCCGAATTGTGTGAATGACTTTTGTACAGGTAATGACTTCTTGGCAACAACTGGTGCCGGTATCGTCACGGGTATAAGTTCTGGCAAGATCCTTGCCAGTCCTGGTATGGTCACAGGTCTCTTGGCATTGTGATCGCTACACATCTGAGCCTGTACGAGTGATTGATCGAGTGAGTGATTGAGTGATCGAGTGATTGTGGGATGACTTACATATGTCTCCTCGATCTTGTTCGCCAGCCTGGCTCGATTGACCTCGATCTCGTCCAACTTGCCTGATCGTATCTTGTTGTAGGCTGTTCGTGACAGTCCTCGATGGCTCTCATTTGGAAGGTTCTTGATCTCAGCGGCAGACTTTACAAATGGACACTGGTCATTCAACCTCTTGGTCTTTCCATATACAATACCCTTTAACTCCTTCTTCTTGAAATCATGCCACTTGTTGATATGATTCATTGTGATCACTACTGTCTGAGTCTGGGCCTGAGCCTTTGCCAGTGCCTGTTCCTGTGCCTGGGCCTTCTTCTTGGCCTTTGCCAAAGCCTTCTCCTTGGCCTTGATGGCCTTTGGATCACTGTTGAGTTCCTTCAACTATTCATGTTTGATTGGAAGTGTGTTAGTTGACTGAGTTGAGTCAGTTGTCCACCGATTGTGTCACTTACCAGTTGACTCCTCCTGGCGTGCAACTCTCCAAGTGCACTGTTCTCATCATAGCATAACTTCTCGAAAGCTTTGCTTCGTATGACATTGTATTGTCTCTTCTCCTCTTCGTTGCGGAATGGTGCTGTGGGTTTGGTCGGATACTTCTTTTTCAGCAACTCCCTCTGCAGCCTGTAGTACTCCTTGTTGGCTGCAGCCTCTCTTTCAAAGTCTTTAAGGTCTGTAAACTTGACCATTGTGAATATTTATATGTATATGTATATTATATGTTTATCTGTATATGTATAAGTTGTTGTATAAGTGTATAATTAACTATTATTATGTTTGTATGTTAGTTTGAGTGATTGAATGAATCATTGATTGATTGATTGAAGTAGTATTGATTGAATCAATGGAATGAAGTGATTCTGAATAATGAATGCATTGGTTTGTGAGAAAGACCTTGGATGCCGAGCACACCAAGCGTTGTGATGCCCATCTGCGCATTCCTGTCACTCTGTCAATCGTTTGGGCGGGGGTTTGTCGTTGTTTTGTGTTTGGAAAACTGGTGGACAACGAATGGAAAAGTGGTGGTTGTGATCACTTGATCATAGAGTGTCGCGCACTTGGATGGTCACTCCCACCCCATCTAGATAGGAAGGATCAAGAAGAGGACGATGGTGAATAGATATGTGTACAAATAAGCAATTTAGTTTAGAGCTCCAACAACAGTGTTATGACTTATTAGAAGTCGGTATACTCCTCGAGCAGGTCCTCTTCAAGTAACTCATCATCAATCGATGCATCAATTAAAGGTGATGATGATGAATGTCTATGCTGTTGTTGTTGACCATTGACTGGTGATGAAGACTTTGGATCAATATTGAATCCATTCAATACTGGTGATGATTCAAAGAACTTGTTCTCCTGTTTGGTTTGATTGATTGATTGATTGATTGAGTGAACGGTTAGGTCTGGAGTTGGACTGAATGAGTATGCTTGGGCTACATACCATAAATATTGATGAACTGAAACGATTGCCAGTGATTGGTGAGCGCAATATCCTCTTGAGGACGACGTCAAAGAGTATTGGATTGAATCGATAGATCTCGTTGACTACATCACGTTCGTCTGGTGTGATCAATCCTCTGTTGGCCAACAACGTAGTGATCACTGCCAAGTTGACCGCTGGTATTGGATAATCACTGCCATAGATCAGTCTATTATGTATATGTTGATGGTCCATCAGTGGAACCAATGCTTCCACTCGATCAAACGCCACGATGCCACTCAGGTCTCCAATTAGATTGTTATTATACTTCTCTTCATGCATCAATCTTAGGAATAACTAGATGAATGATTGATTGATTGATTGTTAGTTCTTTATGGCCACGCTATTGGGACGGCAGGAGACTTACATGAAGATTTGGAATGATTGGCTGAGGCTGCTTGGTCTCGTCCAGGTCGAGGTTCTTGCCCTCACCGCCACAGTGGACGGCGACGATCTTGACTCCCATGTCCAGTGGTCGACGTAGGAGTAATGGATTGCCAAGTCGTGAGTCGGACTCGGGTGGCTCCACCAACGAGTGTTCATTGCCCGTGTGAACAAACAGTATAAGGTCATTCTCAACCATCGCTTCGTAGAATGGTACGCAAAGGTCTGAGTTCAAGTCGATGCCCATCGATACTGGCAACCAACGAACATAACGTACACCCCTAAGTATCCACTTTAACAGTTCATCCACTGCATCCTTGCGGTATGGATGTATAGATATACATGGTGCTATGTGTGAGTTGAGTGATTGGATTGGGAGAATGAGTAAGGTAGGACTTGGACCAGACAGAGGGAGGTTAACATACTGAACAACTCTGAGAAGTCTTGTACGATGTCCATCAGGTAGTCATTGGGCACGTAGAGTCCTGTTAGTCGCATCAACTCCTCGCCATCAGTACTGTATCGCTTGTCGATGGATGACAGCATGAGCTTTCCAAACTGTTTGCAATCGATTGATTGATTGATTGAATGTTGTTAGTGAGCCAGCCTGGACGCTCCACTTACATGAACTAACAAACTACTACTTACTGGATAGTTCGACTTTAGGTGGCGCGCAAGTTGGACGACTCGGTCGACGTATTGACGATCCCACGTGTTGCGGTCGGTGATGGCGCAGGCAGATGTGAAGGCCTTGAACTTGAGATACTTGATTGGATGTTTGAATCGCTCGTAGATCTCTGCCGTGTTGACGGAGCAATTGGTGTCGGCACCGATGCCAAACAGGTTGACCATGTGGTCCACCACGCAGCCAGACGGCGAGCGCCCGAATGGTTGCAGTGTTGCATCGATCATCGCTCTGGCCGCCGAGCTCAACACCTTGTCCGTCGAGGACGACATTGATGGCAATGACGGTGACAATGACGCACCGCTGCCTCGTTTACCCGTCGGTGGTGTTGAAGTATGTAATGTATTGTTATCATATAGATCATTGTCCAATTGTTGTTGTTGATGTCGTCTATGACCATTGTCATCACCGTCATCATCATCATTGTCATCACCATCACTATTTACACCATTGGCAACTGTCTGTGCAATTGATGTCGTTGCATTTCGTATCTTTTGTTTAATATTATCTACACTGCCAATCTTGTTTGACAACCAACTAAATGCCATCTTGATTGCTCGACTTTATCTGTATATCTGTATGTATCTGTATATGTGTATATTTGAAGATGTATTTGATTGGTTGATTGATTGCAAGTTAGATTAAGTCCCCCAGGGAAGATAATTTGAAATGTACCCCAACCCTAACCCTTGCCCTTGCCCTTGCCCTTGCCCTTGCCCTCGGCCTTGCACTCACACAATGATAATTGATTACTTGTGTATGTATTAGGTTGTTGGTACTTTAGACAAAAGCTGTTGTTTAGTTGACATCTTGAACATGACTTTGGCCACTCAGATACTTGAGCCAAACATTGTTCTGAGAGAGAATGGCTTGATCTCAGACTCTGGAAGTCCTTCCAAAAGGTATCGAATCGATAGCTCTGGCATTAAACTACCAAACCTGTAAACTTGGGAGAGTAGGTAAGCCTTGACATTACCAATAGGTCCATGAGGCCCAACCATCAATTCAGATATAAAGATCACCAATTCAACGGGGTCCTTTTGAATACAATCGACGACACATGATCCAAGTCGTTCGAATGAGAGCTCCATGTCTTGAGACCATCTTGAATATATATTCATGACATTGGAGAAGTTGCCACTCTTGCAAGCTTGGTAGAATGCATCCTCTTTCTCTTCTTTGGTTGGTTTCTGCATGTTGACCATTGTATCAATTGTAGAGATACTCTGTTCGCCAACCCAACCCCAGTTGAATCTTGCGCCATGGCAACCAATGAGATATTGACAGATTGATTGTTGGCCATGAGTAAAGGCAGCTGTCAGCAATTTAGTCAAGGAGGATTTCTCTCGAACCTGAACAAACACGGCACTGGTTGATTGTTCGATCAGTTGCACACAATCTGCCATTCCAAGAGCGCATGCACACTCCAAAATACTAGTGGTCAAGTCCAACAGAAACTCCCCAACCGTTGCTTGAGAGAGAAGATAGCGGATCACAGCTGGATCAGCATTCCATTTCTGGCGTGGCCGGAACGACCAGTCATTGATATCCTTGGGTTCGTATCTTTTGATTTGCTGAATGGTCATTTCATCCAGGTGACGACGATTGAAATGTTGAGGAGCACTACCAAAGGGACAATTTGATCGCTCACACTCAGCCACCAAGATTGATCGAATGGCATCGTTGTTTGTATCCTTGCCACTGAGTTCCAGGTTATTATTGATTGCTTTAAAATAGAATGGTTGATTTGTTTGTTTGCTGAGTACATTGGGATATGTTTCGAGGTATGCTTTGAGAAGGTCTGGACGGCCCATTGATGCAACATGATTGAGTATCTTGACGCTGGAAATTGAGAACAGATTGTGAAGTTGGATATACTCCATGATCTCCAATGTCATGGGATACACATTTTCCATGCCAATGTTAAGTGAGATTGTTTCACCCTTGTAACGAACTTGAACTTGAGACACGATCTGATGAGCTGTCTTGACCATGTCCAAAGTGCCAAATGTACAGATAGTCTCCAGTCCAAGCACCTGGCCATATCCCTTCATTTCCAATGAGAGGAAGTATTGAATGAATGACTCCAAATGAGTTTGTTGGTATTCCTGGTGCACATTCATGAAGATACCCTTCCTAATGAATGATAGGAGGTCTGGCTGGTTGTCACCATGTGACATGATTGCAAAGACCCTGAGGAATATCATTCCAACTTCATTGAGAACCAACTCGCATGCTTGGTATTGTTGATTGGTGGGCGGCACTGGAATTTGATAGGCGGCGTATACTTGAATGAGGAAGTTGAGTGAGTGCTCCAATTGTGCCCGATCAGCAGGCTGCTCCAGATCTGAGCAATAGAGTGCATGGACTTTGTCTTGTTGGATACCAGTCGTCGGACGGAATGCACTTTCACAATACTGGCTCACATCTGTGTAATTGAATGAGATATGATTGACTGCACGTCGGACCAGTTCAACGTCTTGGCATCTCAACAGCACTCTCAAAGGACAAATGATAAGTTGATCCACTCTTGGAGCTGAGGGCAGTCCATTGAGGAATGTGATCAAAAGTCTGAGTGCTGTTGCCATCTGCTGCCAGTCCTTGATATGTTTTTCCTCTACCTTTCTTTTCCTTGCCTCCAAGCCACTAGTGACAACAATCGAATTGGTCTGTGACAGAAGGTATTCAAACATCGCCAATCGTCCATGAATGATAGCCGTCACGAGATGGTCTTGGTGCTTCTCCAAATGTATCGGTCGCCCGTTATTAGACGTCATGCCCGCATGATCAAAGATGACTTTGAAGATGTCTGGGTTGTCATGAGCCTGCGCCTCGAGCAACTTATACACATCGAGTCGGCCGTACTTGACAGCATAGCATATCAGTAGATTATGATAATAAAGCATTGTGTATCTGTTTGTGTCAAAGACATGTTTGAACACTGCGTATGGCATCAACTCGATGAGCTTCTCTAAGCTAGTGTGTGTCCAAAGCACTTTGTTGCTGCTGTTGTTGGGTTGGCGTTGAAGTCGCTCGACAAGAACATAGTGCCACTGGTGAGTCTCTGACAACATTATGTCGGCATCGTTGAGCTCGTCGTACTTGTAGATTCTTGGATTGCAGTGTTTGAACATTGATGCGTGTGGCAGTCTCCCAACATAGACAATCGTTCTAAACAATGTCTTGTTGAGCAATACACTGGTGATGATGTTGTCATGTCTCTGTTTGACTGTGTCTTCATTGCCTGTCACACTATTGAAGCATGAGCTTCCTCTACAGTCACACTTTGGAAGCAACCGATCAAGTACCTCTGACAGATCAGTATGTGTCATTGATTAATCGATTATTAGTTATCTCTATCAAATACACTTAACATGAAATGAATACTTTAACAAACAAACTGACTTTTAATTTCTAGTCTGCAACCCTTACCAATGCCCTTGCCCCACATAAAGTACTTGTGATCATCCTGGATTTATTTATGAAGAAAAGTTAATTTTAAAAATCTCTCCATATAATGTAATATAATAATCATATATAATAACATTATTAATATTAATTTGTTTAACTAGAAGTGGAATCTTCTCATTATTTTGTCCCACAAAGTACAAGTTTGGAGGAGTACCTCTAAGAGTAAATACATCTTTGTGACCATCTATATGAAAGTCCAAATTCGAAGGTAACACAGAATAATGATCCTGGTTCCATCCATAGTAGATAATGTGATTCTTTGAATCTCTTTTCCAAATTATTGGTTTAATATATTTATCAAGATTATCCTCAGGGTCATTTGAAAATGATCCATCTTAATATTATTAACTTAGTAACTAATATTGATGTCAGATAACATCTGAATACATACTTTGAGGCTCTGAAGATTCCAAAGAAGAAGAAGAATCTTGACAATTATTTACTTTGATTAGAGTAATTAAGAAGATAACTAATACCAATATATTCAACCATTTGGACATTATTTATTAAGTTATTAATTTAACTACTATTTAATGATATATATATTTATATTCTTCGGTTAAGACAAATACCTTTTATATCCTATTTTATCAGCCATTGTTACAATTATTCTGATTGTGATCATTAATTTTATCACACCTTTGTAGACCCCAACCTCTCCTTGTTCAACCACGGACGAATCAACAGATATCTTGTAATTAATCAACAACACACCAGTGATAGCTCAGATATCTTACAATAATGAGTACATTATATTACAAATGATTTGAAGGACGAATAATCAAATTCTGTCATTTCATTCAAGACAGCAACCCTCGCCCTCACATACAAGATGAAGAATACAGTGTACTCAATGATGACGTTTGGTTAGGTAGGGTAATCCTAGATATATAACAGCTTTTGACACTTTATGGGAGTTAGTTGTTGCTGTTGTTGTTGGATTGGGGATTGGTGGAGTTGGTGGAGTTGGTGGAGTTGGGGATTGACGCCAATAATAATATTACTACTGTTGTTGCTATTACTTATAATGTTGTTGTTGTTGTTGTTGCTGTTGGCAATAACATGTTGATTGGTGTTGTGATTGTTGTTGTTGGACACGGAGACGGGTACTGGACCAGTGTAGCCTTGGAGAAAATGGGAGTAGAGTGGGCCGGAACCATGTGTCTTGCGATCCATTTGGCGCGGCAGTATGCGACGACGTGCATTGGTGAACCAGTTGTTGATCTGGCTGAATGAGAGATGTGTTGAACTGGTGAGCTGCGTCTTCTCCTCCTCAGTAGGATAAGGATGCATGTTGTGCTCAAACAGCCACTTCTTCAAGATTCCCGTGGCCTCCGATGGAAGCTTTCCACGTTTCTTCTTGCGGCCCACTGTGCCGGGTGCGCCCTCATTCGGCTTGCCATCCTCCTCATCACTCGAGCTGTGAGTAAAGTCAGTGTCCTGCGACACAAAGTTAAAGCGGTTGGCGCTGGAGCTTGAGCTTGGGCTGACACTTGGGTTGGAGATGGTGTTGGAGTTGGAGTTGGTGTTGGTGTTGGGTGTGGCCTGGCCGTTGGATGACCTGCTTAGCGGGTTGGGGTTGCTGAGGGATATCCTCTGCTGGGGTACTACCATCTCTTGGAACTCGCTGGACAAGTGAGGTGGAGTGTTGCTTGGTGTGGAGTTGTTGCTGTTGTTGCCATTGTTGAGGTTGTTAAGGTTGCTAAGGTTGAGGTTGGGTAGCTGGGGACCACCAGCCACTCCAATCAAGTTCATCAAGACCTCGGATGCCCATCCCTCTTCCTTTGGACCACCACCACTTGCCTTGTCCTTGGTGTTGGACAACTTTGAAACATGTTCCTTGGATGGAGCAGGTTCCTTTTTAGGTGATTGATGCTTATGTTGATGTTTGGATGATCCAGACGTGTGCTCCCTCTTTAACATCTTGCGTGGATGACGTTGGTTCTCTCCATCACTCTCATTATCACTGCTCGTGTCATACTCCAACAATGAGAACACTTGTTGTTGTTGTTGTTGATGCTGATGATGTACATGTGGTGCAGACGTAGGTGGACCAACTCGAGTGGGAGGTGGACCACTACTCTCTGATGATGACGATGATGAAGATGACGATGAGACCAGCATTACTTTGCTCTTCAGCTTTGAATACTCGGTGATAAGGTCTTCGATTTGGGTCTCCTTCTCGTTGAGCAGCGCTTGAAGATTGGATTGCGCGGTGAATACGTTGCCCTTGAGGCTTGCAATCAGAGACATGAATATCTTGTAGTCTATGATGTTCCTTGAGGGCGTCTCTTTGCTCACCTTGATCTCCATCTCACCGATCAGGCTGTTGATGATATCAAAGTGTCCAGAGATGTCCCAGCCCATGTTTTCGTGGCTGATTTGTGCATAATTAATGTTGGCGGCGCCCCCATTGTGATGGAATTGGTTGCCTCCAGTCCTGTTGGCAGATAAAGAATGATTATTGTTGGAGTTGTTGTTAGGGTTGGAGATGATGGTGATGGGGGAGGGCATTTGGAAGGCCATCGAGGAGGAGGAAGATGTTGGGGTTGGCGTGGGGATTGAATGGTTGGAATGGCCAGTGTTGCCGCCAGTGTTTCCAGTGTGATCAGGCGTGGAAGGTGTGTTGTTGACCACGCGGTGTTGGTAGTCGTATATCTGAGAGTCCATGTCATCACTGTCACAATTGTCCAATATGGACGAGAGTGATGACACCTGGGAGGACGGACGAGATGAGCCCAAAGACGATGTAGTTGTCTGTTGTTGTTGCTGTTGGCTCATGGTTTAATTTATGTTGTATCTGTGGATGTTTGTTTGAATGTTAGTTTGATTGTTTTGGAATATATTGATTGGTTGATTGGAATTATTCCATTTTGGATGGGTGGATGGATGGATGGACAATTGTTATGGCCATACCTCAATGTTATCCTTTAAGAGGTAATGGATGGATGTATGGATGAATGAATGGATGCTGTTAGACTGACTTGACTGTCTGGCAATGGATGTTTTGATTAATGGATGGATGGATGAATGAATGATTGTTTGATTGATTGAATGATGGAAGGGAGGAAGGAAATGGAAATGACCAAAAGGCCTGAGCATTTATGGCTATTGCTGTTGATCTCACAACTGGTACATCAATCACATGATGCTCAACAACATCCATCCATCCATCACATGTATTTAAAAGTTGATGGATTGATGGTAAACACATGGATGGTGGATGGCGCGTGTTGTGGATGTGTTGTGAGTGTTTGATTGAGAGCGTTGGGTGCTGTAGACAACATGACAAAGCATAGAGTTGAGAGTGGCGGCGGCGGAATAAAGAGAGAGAGAGATTAGAATAAAGTGTGGTGGATCACTCTCCCTTTCTCTCTCTCTCTCAACTCACTTCACATATATATGTGTGATTGATTGATTGATTGATTGTGAGTGTGTTGGAATGAATGGTATGGATAGATGACTCGCGTGTGTAAGTGGCCCGGTAAAGGGTGATTGGATTGTAATGTGTATATATATGTATAACACATTAATATATATTCCATGGCAGCGGTAACCTGATTGTTATTGATAAATCATACACACACTCACTCACTCACTCACTTATAAGTGGCGGAAGTGGAGGCTTCACGAACTCAAAGTGATGGGTGGGGTGAGGAGAGAGTGTGGTGGAAAGTGATGCATTGGATTGTTCTGTGTGTGATTGATCAGTCATAGTCAGCAGCAGTGAGTGTCGCCCCGCGTGTTGCGTCTACATGTGTGTAGTGTTGCGAGTATGGTCTACTCTAGCGCCTGTTCAACTACGCAACAACAAACAAACGACCACTACTCAACTCAACTCAACTCAACACACTGAGTTGTTGTGGTCAATCAATATTGGATTATGTGATTGATTGATTGATTATGATGCCTCGATTAAGGCATGGACTGACTTTGTGCATTGATTTGGCAAACAACCAATCATTATTGATTGATTGATTGATTGATTGATTGGTGATTGATGATGGAATTGTTGGCACTTACATTATATATATTGGAGGTGGGTAATGTACGATGTGATGTGATGTTGTCTGTCCGTCTGCTCGTCTATTTATTCATTGTAAGTATGTGTCCAATATGAATAATAATCCTATAATTATATATTATTTATAATACTGTAGGAGTTGTTGCTGTTGTAGTTGTACAACAAAGTGTACCTTTGTTTGTTTGTTGATTGACTGATTGATAGTTGTAATGTCCAAATGTAATGTGATGTAAGTGTTGGTGTCAGGATGTCATGCGGGATAGACCCACTAACTAATTGTCGCATTGATGCCATGTGATGTCCAATAGCAGGAAGGGTGAGTAGTGTCGCCAGGCAACGCCTTGGCTTAAGTTGAAACAATTAATCATTGGAAATATCATTCTGTCTGGTCCAGTACATAGATAGACAGGAGCGGCGGCCATCAACTCTTATAACTTTCAGACCCCCATTGTTATTGACACTTGTGAGACAGGTTTGACAGGCGTCAGGTCCCGTTTCGCCCAATGAAAAGGCCCCCTCGATGAGGCCCTCGCACATTCTGAAAAACGATGGTCTTTCTCATCTGCAGACTTTCAGACCTTTACACTCTGTCAACGTGTCTGAGAAAGATTGATTCATTCATTCAACCTTCCATCATCGTTTGATAGAGTCATCAAAGTGTGACAGGTCGCCATAATCAGGTTGACAGCGGGGACACAGATTCCGTCAACATAATCTTCGATTCGATACCATTGGGATAAATATTATCTAATCATTCTCAAGAACTTCGAAGTCTATGGTCTCTTCCAGGTCAAGAGACAAGCTTAATGTCATTGAATGAGCATTGAGTATGATGTAAGGAAGATGAAGGACTCCAGCTTCTTGATTCATGACTACAAGTCACACTAGTTGCGCGTCGAATGTGACATCTGGATATCCAGAAAGATGAAACTAGTTCTGATGACTTGAATCATAACTTCGTTGAAGTCCTTCAGCTTATAAGATATGACATATGATGTTACCTTGGTCATTCATAATGCCTGCCTCGGTCCTCGAATTGAATCGCATTTAAGCATTTTTGTGAACTATTCATTCATTCATTCATCATATATCCACTTAAGGTCGATCAATAATGTCAACAACAACAACAACAACATTGATAAAGAATGTCATATTGGACATTGAAGGCACGACAACACCTATATCATTTGTGCACGATGTTCTCTTCCCATACATTCGCTCACATTTGAGACAACACTTGGAGCAACATTGGTCAGATGCACAGCTACAGGACGATATTGCAACGCTGCGATGTGATGTTGACAACGTCCCTTCTTCAATACCACCAGTCGCACAGGTTGGCTCGAGCGATGAACAGATTATCGATTCGGTGGTGCGCAACGTCACCGCGCAGATGGACATTGATCGCAAATCGACTGCGCTCAAGCAGTTGCAAGGACATATGTGGAGCACGGCGTACGAGTCGGGCCAGATAAAGGGCGTAGTCTTTGAGGACGTGCCACTTGCATTTGCTCGCTGGCAAAAGACATCCACCAATGTCTACATATACAGCAGTGGCTCTGTCGCTGCACAGAAGTTGCTGTTTGGGTACTCTGTCGCAGGCAACCTGCTCACTATGCTACATGGCCACTATGACACAAACATTGGAAGCAAACTAGAGTCAGAGAGCTACCGCAAGATACTGCAATCTATCAATTCGGGCAATGCCGCCGACAACCTATTCATCACCGATTCTCAACGCGAGGCACTGGCGGCCACCGATGCCGGACTGTATGTGCTGCTGAGTGTTCGACCTGGCAATCCATCACTCGATCCACAATACAAAACGGAGAACATACCTCAGATAACAAGCTTTGATCAAGCATTTGATAAATATACATTCATCAACACAAAATGACGAATGATCAAGTCTCTGGATTGAACCTGGAACATCAATAAATGTGTGTGTATGGATCACTAAATGAGGGAAGTGTGTGTTTGTGTTTGATTGTCCAATTCCACTCAATCACCCAATCAATCAAGTTATCTCTGGAAATTTAATCAATAGTTGTTATTCAATCCATTATTATAAGATGTTTGATTGATTGGATTGTTAATATAATCTTTCATTAGTATGTTTAATCAAGGTCTCTTACTGCAACTTGTTAAAAATCCTATACCCTCCCAAGTAATCCTCACGGTCTGATCAGCCATGAGACCTGTCCTAGTGAATTATCATGAAAGAACTAGGGTTCCTTTTTTGTCTTATCTCTATCCTTACATAATACCAAGTTACAACTTTCCATGATATTTGTTTGACCCATATCTAGTAAGTTATTCCAAACTCTATTGATCAAGTACAATTGAACCAAAGTATGAAAACATCTTTAATTGTAGGTCTGTGAGGGTATTTGAATTTGAATTTGAAAAATGGCGCGAACTTGAATGAAGTTTGACTTTGAGAGATTCGTCATTGTTGTTGTAATAGTTAAGAGATATTGAATATATATATAGAGATAGGATAGATGAACACGTTCAGACCAAGACAACAAGGACGTGGAGGTGGAGGAGGTGGAGGTGGAGCTGGTGGAGCAAGAGGTGGTGGACCAGGCAAACAAGGTGGCGGTTGGAAACAGCAACAACAACAGAGTGGCTTGGATGGAGGACTACTCAAACTCGGTCCACAATACGATGGCGATCTCGAGCTGTGCAAGAAGTTCTTAAGTGGATACCGCTATGGTGCACCAGACGAGTTAACCCCTGGCAAATACATGAAGATGATGGTGAGTAGTACTACTACATCATCTCACTCGCTCATTCATTCATTCATTCTCTCGCGCGCGCGAGATGGTAACACAGACGTCTAACTAACCAACCCACAAATCAACGAATGATAATAGGATGAAATATGTTTGAGAACAAGAAGACAATATGAGATTGAGTTGGATGATGTGGCAAGATCAACAGACATTGAGAATGTGTTGGACTTCATTATGAGGATCGAGAGCAATACATTGAGTTACATTAGATTGTTCACTGCGGCATTGGAGAGTTTGATGCCCGAGCGCAATGTGGACTTTGACTCTATTCAATCAGACGTCGGCAATTCCAGTGATGCAGTGATCGATCTGTTGATGGCCGAGAGGAATCAGAGACAGCAACAACAACAGCAACAGCAACAGGACCAGCACAGACAGCTTAATCAGCAGTCACAACAGCAGCAGCAACAGGGCGGCGGGGCAAAGAAGAATGACAACAGTGCTCTGCCCGCCGAGCTGCTGCGCCGCTTCGAGCTGCTCATCATCCCGCGTCGACTGACACGCAATGCGCCAATCAAGATTCGAGAGATCAGAAGCGAGCACATTGGACGACTGGTGTCCCTCGAGGGCATCGTCACAAGAGTCACTGATGTCAAGCCCATGGTGACAGTGGCCGCCTACACATGCGACAACTGCGGCGCTGAGATGTTCCAGGAGGTGTTGGCACGCGAGTTCATGCCAATGATCTCTTGTCGCAGCCAGCAATGCGCGGAGAGCGGACAGGTCGGCAGTCTTACGCTGCAGAGTCGTGGCTCCAAGTTCATCAAGTTCCAGGAGCTCAAGATCCAGGAGAAGTCAGACAATGTGCCCATTGGTCACACACCACGCACCATCAAGGTGTTTGCTCGTGGCGAGTTGACGCGCCAGGTGTCACCCGGCGACATGATCACCCTACACGGCATCTTCCTGCCCACGCCATACTCTGGCCACAAGGCCATCCGTGCCGGCCTGCTGGCCGACACCTATGTCGAGGCAATGCGTATCGTTCAACACAAGAAAACGTACGAGCAGTACGTAATGACAGAGACGATGGAGGAGCAGCTCAACGCCGCGACAGCCGATGGCACCATCAACATCTACGAGCAAGTGGCCAAGTCGATCGCACCTGAGATCTACGGCCACCTCGACGTCAAGAAATCGCTCCTGCTACAGATGATTGGCGCGCCCGCCAAGCGCATGGCGGACGGCATGAACATCCGTGGTGACATCAATATATGTCTGATGGGCGATCCAGGAGTGGCCAAGAGTCAGTTGCTCAAACACATCTCCAAGATTGCGCCGCGTGGTATCTACACATCTGGCAAAGGATCCAGTGGTGTCGGTCTGACAGCCGCCGTCATCAAGGACTCAGTCACTGGCGACTACGTGCTGGAGGGAGGCTCGCTCGTCCTGGCCGACATGGGCATCTGCTGCATTGATGAGTTTGACAAGATGGAGGACGCAGATCGTACGGCCATCCATGAGGTCATGGAGCAGCAGACCATCTCCATTGCCAAGGCTGGCATCACCACAACGCTCAACGCACGCACATCCGTGCTGGCTGCGGCCAACCCCGCATTTGGTCGCTACAACTTCAAGAAGAAGCCCGACGAGAACTTCAATCTGCCACCCTCACTGCTGTCCAGATTTGACATCCTATACCTCATAGTGGATCGCCCCGATCTGGAGAAGGATCGGCTGCTCTCCGAGCACGTCACCTACGTGCATCAGAACAGCAAGCCGCCCGAGCTCAGCTTCCAGCCATACGACGCCGAGTTTATTCGTTGCTTTGTGAGCCGCGCGCGTAGACATCAACCCTTCGTACCAAAGGCCCTGACAGAATTCATCGTGAACCACTACGTCACAATGAGGAAACAAGAGGGAGAGACCAAAGACCCATTCACATACACTACCGCGCGTACCCTGCTGGGTATCTTGCGTCTGGCGCAGGCACATGCACGCTGTCAACTTCGCGACCAGGTTGAGGGCGCCGACGTCGATGAAGCCATGCGCCTGATGTACGAGTCCAAGGCATCGATCCGGATTGATCGCGAGAAGCGCAAGCAAGTCGACCCGATCACCGCCATCTACGCCCTGATACGAGACCACTGCTCGCGTAACTCAACCAACATGGTCAAGTATGCCGACATTCTGCCCAGGGTGCTGACGGCCGGCTTCAACCAGTTGCAGCTCAACGACTGTCTGGACGAGTACAAGGATATGAGCATTCTGATGGTTGATGACCCTAGGACCGTCATCAGGATCGTCGGTGGTCATACAGGCGCAAGATCATAAGAACATATATTCCAAATGGATATAATGTAATGAATTGGAAATAAACTCTGCAAAGCTCGAGCAGTTGTATTGTATGATTGGAGTAGGAGTGTGATCGACTTGATTGAATGACTATGAGTATGACATGTCATGATGATGATCGATCAATGTCCATTGCCAGTCCACATGTCCAGATCTTTCTTGATTATCTTGTCCACCGTGTTGCCAGTCCTCACGTCGACACGAGGACAATGGACGGACCATGTGCATGGAGCTGAGATCCATCCACCTATCCACTCTTGTTGGAATAATCGCGTATATGTGATCGCGAGCTCGCTTAGGAGTCGTCCTCTTCTTGGTCCATTGGATCATCGAATCGCACAGTGAGTATCGTGTAGATGTTGTCGGCCCAGCGGAAGAGTGCAGTGGCAGCGTCGCCAAACTTTGCCACCTCCTCCTCTGTGAACTCCTTATGTAGTGTATCCTCGTACGATGTGAAGTAGCTACCCAACAACTCATAAGCATGGTGGCTCACCCTGCTTGTATCAAATGATTGAATCGCCTCCACCAGTGCCTGTCCCGATGAGCAACCTTGTTGTCTCGCTTCCTAAGGTTAAGTTGGTTGGTTCATGTTAGCGAATGAACAATGAATGAATGAATGAACGGGATACATACACGATAGCTGCAGAGATCCTCCTTGAGCATTAGGTTGATAACGACGACGAGACTGCAGAGTGGAGCGATGTTGAGTTGGTCTTTGTCATCACCGTGTCTAAGTAGTTCGTCAACCTTTGAGACGTTCTGTGTGAGCAGGGGTACCAATGTATCGACTTCATCTCTTGCCATTGTAACAATCCTGAGTTCAGCATCCTCGAATGCCTTTTGTCTCATAGCTTGAAATTCTTCATTTGTCATCTGTCTACCTATAAGTTCAGGTTCATCGCCATCCTGTCCATTGACATGTCCATTGCCATGGCCATTACCAGTGCCATTGCCATTATTATTGCTATTACTTTGTGCCATTTTATTTATCTCAAGTTATCTCTTTGCTGTTGTGTGAATGAGATGACATAAACCAAAAGACGAGTTATTCGTTATTTTTCGGTTTAAGATGAACTTGATTGCTGCTAAGGTTAGCTTGGGTTCTGCAGGGTTCAACGGGTGTTGTGGGTGGATTCTTCAAATATTTGTTTTGGAATCCAAGGTCCGACCCGTGATGACCCTTTGCAACCTCCAACATAGTAATAGCGACCAATTAATACATATATATAATACAACATCTGATGTCTGAGGAGCTAACCCAGTTAATAGTCACCAGAGTTAAGCAAGCAGGTGTCAAATGCTTCTTCTGCGGTACTGAGTTGGATATCTGGGTCTTGGGCAAACACCTGCCCGTGTGCGCCAAACTGTGTTACAATATCATCATTGATATGTTCCAGACTAAAGAATCACAGGAGGAGACTCACACGTTGAGGCTGCGTATAGAGGAGTTAGAGGGAATCATCAAGTCATTATCGCAACAACAACAACAACAAACAAAAAAAAAAAAAAAAAAAAAAAAAAAACAACAGCCACAACCAACATCGTTGTCATCAACACTCACGCTTCAGCAAATGAAGACGCCAACCAAACAAGGTGCGGCAGAGAACAATAGAGAGCTGATGAATATCACACATACCAAGAAGTTGATGGATGGAGAGACTAGCAAACAAACCAAGTGCTTCCTGCATTCCAACGTTCGAGACCCAACCAATCCCAACCGGATTATAGTAGAGGCGACTTGCAATTCACCAGAGAACAAGATCGAGAAGAAGATCATTGTCTACTATGGCGACCAAAAAATGATGATGTGCAGTGTTGGACATATTACAAACCATACCAGGTCAATGCCCTATTTGAAGCTTGCTGTACCTGCGATTGGAGAACACGATCCAGAGAAGCCTATCATTGGAGATTCTGTCCAACATTGCCAGAACTGTTCAAAGGGTTGTTCTCGCATCTTGAAGTGTTGCCATCCAGACAGCACGTTTGGCGTCTTTGTATACTTCTGTCGATGGAACTGCCTTGTCGAGTATCTAACCAACAAACGAGAGAAATGGACTCAATGGTGCGAAGCGAACACCGGTATCTCCAGCAGGGCAACGATAGATATCGACGATAATGCGATGTCAACAACTACATCACCACCCATCCCAGCACCCAGCCCAGCAGCAC